GCGAGTCTCCAGTGATAGCATGGACTTGGCCATGCAGAGCAGCCTCGGGGAGCCAGAAGTCTCCACTCCTGGGGACACGCTGGCCACCGGCCTTTGTGTCTGATGGAAAGAGAATCTTGTGTCTCTGCCAGCAGCTTAAAAGCACTTGTGAGATGTGACAGAGAACTGGGTTCCAAGGAGGCATGACCATGGGGAAACACCTGGGAAGAATTTGGAGTCTTCATCCTCAAAAAACAGTTTTTTAAAAATAGCCTGACTAGTTTTATGCAAGTGACTTGGTTCAAAATTCAAAGCCTGTAGAACACAGTATCAGAGAAAGAAACCGCCTCACCCCCTCACCACAGCTACCATGTGGGGGACTCTCTTTCTAGACGTCTGTGGTGCTGTGCAGACACAGGGTCATATGGGTGTCCTGTCCAGGTGGGGCCGTGGGCCCAGGTTCTTTCCCCTGGGAATATTTAGCCAAGTGTCAATCAGTGCAGATCAGAGCCTGGATTCCTGGGGCTGTGTATGGCCCACTGTCTGTCTCTCAATGGCACCCAAGCCATCTCTTCCTGGCCACCATCCAGCCTTGGAGAGCACTCACCCCTTGGCTTTGGGTAGAAGGAGAAACCAACTACTTTTCATGGCTTACGATTAGGTGGCCAGAGACCACGGAGTTCAGAAGCAGTCACGGCCAAGAGCAAAAGGGACAATGTCAGTAACCACACCACTCCATGGGCCAAAGGGCTGCTGGGCAAGCAGAGGGAGCCAGCCCGCATCCAGAGGTCAGGGCTACCATCACGGGAGCAGACCCACACCCAAGCTAGGGGCGGCCAGCCAAGGTTGTGTGTCTCGATCATTTCAGGCTGTGCACTGTGTACCTGGGGCTGGGGCTGCTTCAGACATCCCTGTCCATCCGTCCACCTGTGTAGCTGCTGTCCATCCATGCCAGCACCCCACTGCAGCAGTGATGGTCTTTGGTTCATAGGTCACCATGTCATCAGTGTCAAGAGCAGGGTGGTACCAATGGTGCTCAAGGAAGAGAGCTCTGAGTGAGGGAGGGAGGGAGCGAGCAGTCTCCCCCACTGTCCTCACTGCCAATCAGCTGCTCCTGACTGGCAGCTCAGCATGGGCCAGGTGCTCTGCTAAATGCTGAACACACATGCGCTCGTCAGATCCTCCCAGCACCCCTGCCAGGGGAGCATCATGAGCTCATTTTATGGAAGAGGAAGAGAGTTTAGCTAAAGCCACCCGCCAGGCCGTGGCAGGGTCACGTTTGACCTGGCCTGGCCGCACTCCCATACACAGTCCCCTGCTCCCCTCCCGCCTGCCCCCTGCCACAGCTCTGCCCTGTGGCCCCAGCACACCCTGCCAAAGGTGTGAGAGCCTCCTCCACTTAGTAGTGGGAGACGATGAACTCTCGGCCCGTTCCCCAGCTGGGGACCTGAGGAAGGGCGACAGCGGTTCCCCTCATGGTGCAGTCTGGGCCTGGGGTCCGCTCCTTGCCCAGCTTGGAACCCAGGGTCGTGGTTTAGAAGGCTCTTCAAGGAACCCTCCTCCCTCCCACCTTTAGATGTGGAGATTGAGGCTCCATGACCCAGGCCTCTCAGCACAGTGTGAATGTCCTGGCTGGAAGGCCCACCAGCTGCCACCAACCACCCCCCGGGGCGTCACCATGCTGTGGCAATTGCTGGTCACAGGGACCAGAGCGGGCAGCCCTGCCTGCCTGAGACGCTGCAGGGCCCACGGAGCAGCCACACGGAGGACGTGTCCCTCCCCTCCTCGGCCCCTCTCCTCTCTCACCCTAAGTGGCCTGTGCCGTGCAGGATGGGGGTCCCCCGGCCCCTCTTGCAGCAGCCCCTCGTGGCCAGCTGAGGGAGCAGAGAGCAGCCTGGGCGACGCAGTGACCCGGCCCTGGGCGGCCGCCGCCCGGCCTGCTGCTTTCCCGTGTGAAAGGTGTTTAATTATTTCTGACAGAGTTCAGCCTCGACATCTGTTCGGGGTGGGAGAGTCCATTTAGGTCATCCATCACCCTGACAGGTTCAACTTTTTTGGAAGCGCTGTTTCCCTTCATGATGGGGCCAGTGGGGGCGGCGGATCAGCAGCCCCGAGACCCAGACAAAGGCCTCAGAGTCCGTGCGTGACGCAGGCCAGCGGTCCCCACCTGACTGCTGAGCGAGCCTTCGGTCCAGACCAGGCGTGGTGGGAGGGCAGGGGGCAGCTGGGTAGGGTCCATCAGACCCCGGGGAGGCCTGAATGTCTTCGGTCATCCATTCACCTGTCCACTCGTTTGTTCGTTCCACAGACCACGTCCTTGGTGCCAGGCACCCTGCTGGGCTCTGGGGACTCGATGGGGGACCCAAAGGCGGTTCTTATGGGCTAACGTTTTTGCTGGGGAAGATGAAAACATCACCCAGTTAATTAATTAGTTGCAAAGTTGTTAAGTGCCACTGTGGGAAGAAAGGCGTCCCCGAGGTGGAGAGAGAGACGACTGCTGGGCAGGGTGCAGTTGAGGGGCAGTCTCAGGAGGCCCAGGGTTAGGCAGCCCTGGACTGGACCCTGACACAGGTGAGCCTATTTCCACACCAGTGGGTTGGGGACAGGGATGCTGAGAGTCATAGCTAAGTAGGTACGACACATGGCGATTTCCTTGTCAGCCTACCCCATGTTGCTTAGAGGAAGGACTCTCCATTGTGGACCCAGGTCATTTGCAGTGACTTTGCATGAAAGGTGACCTTGCTCAAGGACCAGAGCGGATCCGGGTTTAGGGCTGATGGGGGGTTTAGGGTGGTTCCAGGTTTAAGGTGATTCCTGCTGGGAATAGGGCATATCCTGCTGCCTCAGGCGCCTTGAGTTCCTGTTGAGTTCTCGCGGGATTCAGAGCCCGGTGGAGAGTGTGGATTTTGCCCAGAACGTGCTTGTAGAGTGCCGGTGTCAGTTCGGGAATAAAGAATTGCTGTTTGAACCTACAAGGCTGTGAGTGGCTCGTGATTTTGTGCCCAGCCAGACTGCGGCACAGGAAGGCTATGGGTCAACATGTCAGCACTCAGTAATTACCTCCCGACAGGGAAGGACTGCCTGTGACGTCCCACAACAGCAGCACTCTGTGGGTCGGGGGTCTCTGTTGGGCTGATCCCTGGGCACCACCCCACTCTGAGAGTCTTGCTCAAGCCCCCGATTCCTGCGGCCTCAGGCTCCGGGCTGATGGAGGGGGTGACTGCAGCATTAGCAGGCAGAGTCCCACGAACATCCTTAGGAAGGAGGAAGAGCACCCGCATAAAGCGGGGGCTGCATGTTACGTCTCATCAATTCTGTGGCACAGTGGGGAGTGTGCGTGTGCCACTCTGTCAGGACCTGGATTCCAGGGTGAGGAGGGCACAGTGCTGCAAGGCGCGAAGCTTGTTCCAAGTAGGAAATCAAGTCGTCCTCAAAAATGGCCTCTCGCGATGCCTGGCACCGAGCGAAAGTCACCCCTCCAGGCTGGGCCGTGTGTTAGAGCAGCTTTCTACAGCCACCCAGAGGCTTGATCCTGAGACACCCCCGCTGCTGACCACAGGAGGAGCATTGTTTCCTGCGCATGAAGCCCCTGCCTGGGCCTGCGGGGGGGCCCCCGGGCACAGGAGACAGCACACCCGCGTGGAGCTCTCCATGGTACCTGGGCGGCCGGCCTTTCCCTGCTCGGCAGGGGAGACGTGAGGTGGGGGGAGACCACCTGCACCATCCCGTGTCCACAGTGCTGGACTCTAATCAGAGGGGCCAGGAGTCCATGCTGTCGAGCAGAGCCTCACGGAGGGGCCTCTCTTGCCTGTGGATCCACTGGGGCAATGTCCCCAGACGCCTGCATCCCCACAGACACAGGGAACAGCAGAGAGGAAAGGCAAAGGACGGCCCCGGAGAGCGGAGGACTTGTCTTAAAGCTGGGACAGGAGAGAGAGAGAGATGAGAGGCGGGTGCACCGTGGAGGCCGAGGCGGGAGGTGCTCCTGGGAGCAGCGCGGCCGTGACTCCTGCCACGTCCAGAACGGCGCCTGGTCATGTTCTTTCCTCGACATTTGCTGTGAGCATGGCGGCAGCCTGGGCTGACGGGCGGCAGGGCACATGGTCACTGACATATGCAGATGGAGGCCGCATTAAGGGGGACAAAGCAGGTTTCCCGGCAGAACTCAGCAGCTTGTTGGCGTGCATCAGGCTCAGGAAGCCAGCCACCCTCACGTCAGAACCGAAGCTCGAGTTACTCGGCCGCCAGCGGGCCAGCCAGGAGCGCCGCCGCGCACAGCTGTCTTCCTGGGGCCAGGCCAGCCCCTGGTGGCCTCCAGAGAGCCTCTCTCTGTCCACGTTGAGCATACACAGCCCCCTCCCCGTCCCGAAGCCACTGTTCCCCATTTCCATTTCCCTTGGTCTGCGGTGCCCCTGGCCCTCACAGTGTTCCCCTGCTGAAGGCCGCTGAACAGGAGCCCTGTCTGGGAGCCACCGAGCCACATGGCCACATGAACACGGGTTCAGTTCTGAGGCCGGAGCTCACCACCTCCCTGGACCCTTGACCAAGTCCATCTGGCCCGCGCACACTTGCTCCCCTCTGCACGGGAGGTCCAGCACTGGAGGGCAAGCAGCTGGGTCCTGGGCAGAGGACATGAAGCATCAGCAGTCCCATCCCTGGAGGCTTGGCCCCGACAGCATCTGCACCGGGCAGGCAGACACCCAGGCTCTGCACCGAGAAGCCTGCCATCAGCCCAAGGCCCTGCCACTTCCCCAAATCCACCATGTTTCCTGTTTGCAAAGCAGGCCTGATGGCAGAGACTTCCCTGGAAAGGGCACGTGAGGGGTCTGAGCTAAGAGCATCTCCGAGCCTGGTGCTCAGGAAGTGCTCAAAGGACATTAGTCCTTGCAATTGCCATCGATAAGCCAATCGATGGTGAGAGGCCTGCAGAGCTCCTAGACAACAGGTGGAGACAGCAATGGGGTGAAGTGACTGGCAGCCAGCCCTGTGTGCAGGAAGGGGCAGGCGAAGGGGACACTGACCTTCTGGAAGTGGGGCATGTGCCAGAGGGCATCCAGCTTCACGGGCGGCTTATATTTCCTCAGGTGATTGCTCCGGGTCTCATACAGCTTCCCCAGGATCACCTGCAGCCAGGGAGGTGCACAGGTGAGAAGCCTGGGCAAGGACAGGGGGTGCAAGGGCAGAGCCTGGGGTTCTTGTGTGGGCCGCTTCCTCCTGGCCCTTCTCCTATTCACAGCATTGCCCCGCTGGCCCTGCCCCTGGCTGCAGCTCAGCTGGCCCAGGGGAGGGACCGCGGGATGCCCTGGGCATGTCCTTCTGTTTGGCCCTGCAACACTGGAGGTTGTGGCCGTAGGTGGCTGGGAGGTGGGATGGGTCCCATCCTCCTTGAAGCTGCCCTCCAAGGCTACCATGGCCCGGTATTCACAGGGCCTCTGTGGTGTGAGTGAAGACATGTACTACTGTCCCTGGGAGCACCATGGCCCATCAGGGAGGAGGAAGGTAGCTCCTTTGGGGAGAGGATTCGGAGGCTCCTCTGGAACCCACAGGGTCTCCACAGTGGCTCTCAGAGGTGAAGAGGAGGCTCTCTCTCCCTGAGCCGTGAGCTCCGTGCCCATGTCCACAGGGTGTGTGGCTCGTGGGTCTGTCAGAATGAGCAGCTTTCTCCAGAGTGGCATGTGGGAGCCCCAACCCCATGTGACCATGTTGCGGATAGGGCCCACCGGGAGGTGGTCGAGGTGGGATGAGGTCATAGGCTGGGCCCTGTCCAACTGTAAGAGGGACACAGGGGGAGGTGGCATCTGCCAGCCAAGGGGAGAGGCCTCAGGAGGAACCAGCCCTGTCCCACCTCCATCATGGACTTCCAGCCTCCAGAACTGCAAGAAAGTAAACATGTGCTGCCGACGCTGCGAGGGGGGGCCTGTCATGGAGTCCCAGAGGACCAAGGTGAGGCTGAGACCTCCAACCTCAGAATCTGCTGAGGTCCTGGAGCTTGTCAAAAGTTCAAACAACCCACTCACCCCCAGAGCCTGTGCAGAGGGCTGGGACCACAGCAGTGCAGGGAGGCAGGGGACTTGGGAAAGGGTACAGGCACCCAGGGTTCCAGTCAGGAGGTGCCCTGAGAGGGTTGTGCAAGGGGACACAGGGAAAGGCAGGGGGTCCCCTCCATGGACTTCCAAATCCCACAGCACTGTCTCTGCCCCTTGGTGACAGCTCAGCAGAGGGTGGTACTGAGTTGGCACCTCTGACTTGGCTGGGCACCTCTCCGCCTCACCTGGATTCATTCCTTCAACAGATATTGATGGAGCGTCCACCCCTGCCTGGCTCAGGTACGTCACTGGGTACACGAGGACCCCCGCCCTGGTGGAACTGGCATTCCAAAACAAGTCATTTCCAACTGTCGGGTGGCATTAGTGCTTTAAAGGGCAGGAGGTCAGAGGACGTGGGGCAGGAGGAGGTGTTTGGGTAGGACACGGAGGGCCTCCCCGACACGTAGAGGACATCTGGGAAGTTTCCCATGACCCCTCAGGTCCGAGTGTGCAGGATATGATGGAGAAATAGTAAGCGGCCAACGTGGCCTAGCACAGTAGGGCCTTTGGGCTCTGTTCTGGACTCATTCAGAAGCCTCTGGAAGTGGAGGAATGGCATGAGCCAACCCGGGTCTTGAAGGCTGCTGGGCAGTGGTGGAGGACAGGCCCTGGGTGGAGTGTCCCAGGTCGGGTGCTGGGTGAGCAGGTGGGCGGCCACTGCAGCAGCTCAGGTGGGGAGCAGAGTGTGCCCTGCAGCCAAGACCTGGCCAGATGCTGGCCTTGCTGAGAGCTGGGTGTGGGCCTGCGAGGAGAGGCCAGCCGGGATTCTGGCCTGCAGAGCTGGGCACAGTGGGCTTACCACTTGCCGAGGCCGTTGGGGGGTGGTAGGCTTGAGCTGGGGATCTGGGGTTGTCTTTGATGTGCCATCGCGAGGGCATGGAGAAGTGGGCTCAGGCAGCAGGGTGGCCCAGCGGTGCTTCAGCCGGAGCCACAGGCCAGAGAACAGCCCCCAGGGAGCATGGTCTAGGACAGGCCTGAAGAACTGGCTGAGACCACGGAACGGCAGACCTGAGGACAGCTCTGCTGCCGTCTGCAGGCTGCTGCGGGTACTGGGGCAGCAGGGTGGCACAGTGGCACTGCACTAAGGGGTCCAGCGTCCATAGTAACAGTAGCCAAACTGCCCTTCCTCAGCTCCCACCTGCCCCTAACTCACTGCCCCATCCTGAAGATGAGGACCACGGGCTCCGTGGGTTATGCGACTTGCCCAGCCATGCAGCTTCCAGCGGTGGGAGAAGGACTGGGCCGGCCACCTGACTCCAGGCACAAGCCCTGCCTTCCCCACGGCCCACCACTCTTTCTCAGCCTCCAATGTGGCTCCCCGGGGGAGGACATGGTCGAGCCTTCTCAGCCTGGAGTTGAGCTTAATGAAAGCTTGCAGTAGTGTGTCTGGGACTGTTGGCTGCTTCAGAAACCGAGTCACAGGGGCTGGGGATGTGGCTCAAGCGGTAGCGCGCTCGCCTGGCACGCGTGCGGCCCGGGGTTCGATCCTCAGCACCACATACAAACAAAGATGTTGTGTCCGCCGAAAAACTAAAAAATAAATAAATAAAAAAAAAAAAAAAAAAAGAAACCGAGTCACAGCCCGCCACTTCCCTGCTGCCAAGAGCTGTTCACGCTGTTTCTCAGGCACAGGCACGAACCCTGGGGCCTGGCCCAAAGTGACATTGAGAGCCTGGCAGCATCGAAAGCCTCCAGCGGGCAGGACCTGAGGATCCAGGAGTTCCACCTGGTCAGGTGTTCTGGGTGTGGATGTGCCACCAAGATGTGCGGTTGCTGTTGGCCTCCATTTCCACCCATCCCAGGGCTGCCACAGGCTCTGAGCTGCACCCGGTGGGGAGACGACAGGAGCCGCAGTGGTCAGTCTCCAACAAGCCTGTTCCTTCTGGCAATCACCGGGTCCATGACACTGGCTTCTATGCACACTGGGCCGTGGCCCTTGTGGGTGTCACTTGTTCCATACAGAGCTGGGCTTTCCATGTTGCTCACACAGCTTGAGCTTTGGGGCGCCTCACAACGGAGGGGCCTGGATGGCCCTTGCTCAGGTATTCGTGGGTCCATGGCTCTGTAAACACCCTAATACTACTGTGCTTTTAGACTTAAAAAGGAAAACAAGACACCAGCTGCAAGCTGTAGAAGTTGCAGGCCCCACACAATCTGGAGCAGGCCAGGTGTTACCAGGGTGTTTCATCTCCTGAAAGACTCTGTCTTCTGAGGGCAGAACACACCGACCTCCAGCCTCTCCAACAGTGAATCCCACTGTGGCATCCGGAAGGTGCCATCGACAAATAAAAACAGAACCAAATTTAACTGAAGTTACCACCACCCAGCAAACCTCATTTATTGATTTATGTTGCTAATCAACTCTATTAATTCTATTGAGTGTATGGGGGTAACTTGTCAGCCCTGCAGGGCAGTTGTTCTCCCTGCCTTCTAGAACAGTTTTAAAATGCTGAGCTAAAGCAGAGGACATCCACTCAGGGTTAACAAGCTGGGCTTTGGGGTTGGAGGGATGCAGACATACAGCCATACAGCCTGGGCTTCTGAGCTTTCCCCACCGGAAAAGGGTATCGATGCCCAGCAAACAGGGTTCCTGTGGGATCTGCTGAGGGGCTTTTGGCAGAGTGGCCGGCCCGACAGGTAGCTGTTCAGGAGCTTTGTTTGGGTGTTTGCTGTCCAAAATCCAGAGCACCCTCACCAGCAGCCAGACTCAAGGCTGAGACAGGTTTCCCTGGATGTGGGAGATGAGGCCTCGAGGACCAACCATCTCAAGCCCAGTTCGTTGTCAACCACCCCCCAAACAGCGGCCTCCGGGTCTGGCGGGTTCAGGGCCATGGTGAGACAACCAGCCGCCAGAGGAGCTTGGAGTCGGGAGGGCACTTGAGGTGGGCTTAGCAGGTGTTTTTGGAGCACCTGCTGCGTGCTAAGGGGTGGGGCTTAGGACACAGCACTCCCCAAACATTCCACGTCTGTGTCTTGGAAAAGGCAGAAGAGGGTCTGCTGTCTGACCCCACACTCCTCCGGCCACCCCTCTTCCTGGAGCAGGTCGCCAATCCAAGGAGGGGCTTCCCTGCTCCTGCCCCAGGCCCTGAGACCCTCACTGGAGAGGCACCTCCCTCCCACCTCTTGAGCACACAGGCCTGGCTGCCCCCACCCCCGTTCTTACCATCCCTCCTATGCCTTCTCCACTCCTGTCCACCTCAGCAGTGTGAAACATGGGGTTAACTGTTTCTTGTCTGCGTTTCCTAGTGGAAGCTCCGGTATTAGGTGCAACTTCATTTTGGACACTTGTCCCTTGTTAATCTGCCTTTAGTTACAGGAGCCTCGACCTTGACCCAAGGATGGCCAGGAGGATCTCACTTAGGCTCAGTGCAGCGGGCCCTCATGCAGTCTGGCTCCTTTGTGTGCCCAGCGTGGAAACTCAGGCCTCACGGAAGTGGTGGTTCACTCCAAGTCACGCGCCCGGAGCTGAGTTGTGGTGTCACCCTCATTAGCTGCTTAAGGGCCTCTGTTTTCACAGGAGGGGTGCTGGCTACAAGATGGGCCTGCAGAGGCTCCAGTTTCTGTGTCTTTGCCCACATTCTGAGTGCAGTGAAATAGTTGCTAATTAAAACGCGCGGCACTCACAGGGGCTGTAAAGCAGTTTGTTACGGTAATGCTCCCTCTGAAACCAGCCATTACCATCCCACGTTGACTCTTTGTTCAGCCATTAACAATAAACCAGTCGTGGGTTGCTTTTCAAACACCATTACGCTTACAACGCCGAGCTCTGTAATGAGTGCCGGGCTGCGGAGAAGAGCCACAGAGGACTTGTGCCCATCCTGAGGGTCACAGGATCCCTGGGGAGACTCTTCTAATTCTCAGTTTGGCCCTAGAAGGTAGGCAGTAGCTCTGATCCCTGAGTGTCCCCCTAATCTGCAGGCGGGGATCTCACCTTCAAGGAAAGTCACACCCTGGGGACAGACACACCTCTCTCTGAGCCTCAGTTTCCCCCTGAGGTCACAGGATACCTACCTGATGAGGTTCGTGGAGAACCAAGTGCAGGGACTCGGGGTCCCTCTGCACGGAGCTAGCAGGCCCACGGTGTTGGCTGTGACTATCGTGACCCCAGAGGAGCTGTGTTCCTAATGAAACCTACAAAGCACAGCGGAGGAGGCATCTGTGTTCTCCAGAAGTTGGAATTTTGGGATGTTAAAGGAATAAAGTATAGTTTTTGAGTATTTTCAAATGTGTAGAACACCACGAATCAACCACCACAATGCTTTTCATGGTGAAAATCTCACTGAGCTGACTTCCTGCCGGTTGCTAACAGCTCCTGTCAGTAGCAGTCAATGGTGTTTTTATGTGGGGACCTCGGCTCCAACTTCCTTTGCAGGCCTGGGAAATGGGGTAAGGGCAGCCCCTCCAGGCTCCTGGGAAGTGGGCAGGTGAGGTGCTTGGTGTGGGGCACACGGAGGCCTCGGCATGGCCTGTTCCTTAATTTGTAACAAAATTCCTCACGTTTAATTCCTGCATTCTTTTACTGGGTGCTTAACCACTGAGCCATGTCCCCAGCCCTTTTTATTTTTCATTTGGAGACAGGGTCTTGCTGAGTTGCTTAGGACCTTGCTAAATTGCTGAGGCTGGCTTTGAACTCATGATCCTCCTGCCTCAGCCTCCTGAGCCGCTGGGATTACAGGTGTGTGCCATCATCATGCCCGGCAATAAGACTGTGTTCTTTAAAGCATCCTTCTGAAGTGCACTTCTTTTTCTACTTTGTTTGCCTATATTTATGGGTAGCCCAGGGTCCACTTCTGCCTAGGCCGGCTGGATTATGTTCAACCTGATTTTTCAGAGGCGTGATGTGGTGCGGGAGTTTGGTGGAAAGGGTCCTCCCGTGGCAGTTGGGACAGCTGGTTTCTCACCCCAGTTCAGAGGTGCACAGGGCCAGGGGACTAGCATCCTGGCCTGTGTCTTACACCCCAGGGTGACATGCAAGGTGAACTGGATGATCATCCAGACCGGGTCCAGATCCAAATCTGTGCGGCAAGACACCATCTGACCCCCATGCCCCGCCCACCCTCCACCACCAACACACAGCGCCAGCCACAGCCAGACCTTCCTCCCCTCCCCAACAATCCGCCCAGGAGTGAGGCTGTGTTACCTTTTGCTTTTTCTCCAGTTTAATGGCTTTCTGGGTGGCCTTTTGCTCCTGCACCCACAGCTGCTGGTACCGGTGCTGCAGCAGATCAAAGAAGGGTGTAGAAGGCCTAGGGGGGAAGTCCAGACAGGGACTGAGCCTGGGAAGAGGCCCCACCCTCTTCCCCCATCACACTGGGCCTCACTGTCAGTGTCACAGGCTGCAGAGCAAAGGGCTCCTCAGGCTGCACGGGGCTCTCTCTTGGGTACTTGAGATCCCTGAGGATTTGCCAGGAAGGCCCTTGCCAAGCCTCTCCTCCACCAGCCCTAGGCAGGCCTCTCTGGAGCCCCCTTCCTAGGCCTGCTCAGGCCGGTGGTGATCTGGAACCCTGCTGAGTTGACCCCTCCACCCAGACCATCTGATTTCCCTGGAGAGCTGATGAAGTTCCTCAGCCCACCTGACGTCTGACCTCGACCTCGACCTCGCTGTGCAGGGACCCTGAGAGGCCGGCTCAGCAAGACCTCCCCTTGACGTCTCCTTTCCTCATTCTCACCCACTGACCCTCCCGCAGCTCACTGGCAGTCTGCCACCTGCGCTGTATTTGGAGTGGAGCTCAGTTCCGCCCAGGAATCTCCCCTCTGCAGCAAGCACTGGATCAAACCCGCCTTCACCGCTCTTGGCTGGTGTCTGGCTCTGATTTTCTTGGACTGATTTCCAGCCGGGAACCACTGGTCCTGGGCTGAGCTTTTTGTGTGGCCCCTTCCCAACACTGCAACACACTTGTGCCCATCCTGGGGACAAAGGGGAGGGTGAGGTCCCAGAACACAGGGGGTGGTACTGCAAGTCGCCTGCCCAGCTGCAAGGCTTGGTGGCAACAGGCTTCATGTCCTGGGGTGGGGGAAACTAACTGCCAATCTCTACGCAGATGGAGAGACTGAACCCACAACCAGAATCCCACCCTCACTCTGAAGCAACCTGCCCTGGAAGCAAGGCCATCTCCTACAGTGACCAACCCGGGGACCAGCCGGTCACCTCCAGCAGCCACCGGGGGAGCCAGCTGTGGTGCTGTAGGAGGTGAGCCTGCTCTGTGCCACAGAAGTGCTAACAGTAACCCCTACCAATCACCCCACGGGCCAGGACCTGACTACCAACCGCCAGCTTCCCTGGTCTCGTCCCCGCTTTGAATTTAGGGTCAGTCAGAGAAAGCTAAATATGTACCTTAATAAATTACATGGGATGCCACGTACATATTAACACATGTAGCATATATACTACTGTACATATAATGTTATATATATGATTTATAATGCTTATAATTCTATGCTTACACATTACATGATGATTACATAATGCTTACACATTATATGTATGATGCATATATACATATGACACGTGTATATTTTTATTTTCAAAAGGAAAAAAATGAAAGATAAACCAAAATTTACTATCAAAATATGGGGTGAGGGAGAAGAAAGCTGGAACTCTAAATAGACTGCAATGGATTTTACTTTGGAAGCATGGAAAAAGTGCTTTATAAAGAAAATAGTTGTGACAAAATAAAGTGAAGATGAAAGATCAGCACCTGCTTTAAATGACAGCAGGAAGCAATGGACCTGTTTGTCAGAATTATTTCAAGCAATTTCAAAAGAGATTCGGGCAGAGTCTGTCTCACGTGGGACCCTGGGGGCGAGAAGAACCCAGGGAAGGCCAAAGCTGCTCCCATTGCTGATGATCACGTCCATGTCATTTTGAAACCGTCATGTTTACATTGAAGGACCAAGTAAATCAGTAATTGTACAAATGCCATTAGAAAGCAAGGTTTCTCAGTATTAGAGAAAAGAAGTACAAGTATAAAATCAGAGAGGTGAGAAAAAACTCATCAGCCTTCCTCCTCTGCCCACTGAGAGACAGAGGTCTAGAAGTCCCAGCCCAGCAGCCTGGGCCTGACCCTGCTCTCCCTGCTAAGGAGCAGGCCCGGCTGGGAAGCACCATCCCCAGGGCTCACTAGGTCCCGGGTGGGGCCAGAGGCAGGGAGGCCCTGGAGGCCATCAGGGGACACGGCAACAGATCTCAAGGGCCGGATGGACGGGCCCAGAGGTGGGGCAGGCTGCCTGGGGATGCTACCTCACGGAGCCGTTTACCTGAGGACAGGGAGAAGCGCCCCCTGCCTTTCCTGGGCAGACCGCGTAGCAGGGAACAACGGGGAATGCGGGGAGTTCTGTGCAGCAGATCCAGGCTCCTGGCCTCCGGGGGAATGGCCGAATTGGTGGGAAGTCACAGTTAGCTTCTCCTGGTGAAATGGTCACAGGCTATGGATAGGCACTGAGCTGCAGCGATCAGGAACAGGCCCCGTGCCCTGGGGCTCGTGCACCTTGGGGTGACTGTTGATGACAACGTACCCACTTCCCAAAGCTGGAGGAAGGACTTGGAAGTTCTCACCATAAAGAAATGATGAATGTTTGGGGAGACAGAAATGTTGAGCCTGATCTAAACACACGTGTATGAGAACATGACGTGGTGCCACTGGTATGTACGAGTCTTACGTTTTCATGTCTCAGTCAAAAAAAATGTTTTCAAGATATCTAGCAGCAGGGGTGGTGGCGCACGCCTATAGTCCCAGTGGACCTGGAGGCTGAGGCAGGAGGATCACAAGTTCAAAGCCAGTTTCAGCAACTTAGTGAGACCCTGTCTCAAAATAAAATAGGAAAGCCCGGAGGGGCTGGAGTTGTGGCTCCGTGGTGCAGCACTTGCCTGGCATGTGTGAGGCCCTGGGTTCCATCCTCAGCACCGCCTATACATAAATACAATGAAAATCCATTGACAACTAATAAAAAGTATTAAAAAGAAAGAAAAGGGCTAGAGACCTAGTCCAGTGGTGGTTAAGTGCCCCTGGGTTCAATCCCTGATATCAAAAAAATAAAAAAGATACCTAGTAATCCTTAGATTAGATGGGAAGAGACAAGAGCAATAAAACATTTTATTACTCTAAGAGAATGATAATAAAAGAAATAGTGGGTCTAGCTAATGTCCCGGTGGTCACTAAAATGACCAGTGGAAGGAAGGCTGATGGAAATGTCACATGGATGGTCAGTTGAACGGGACCACCAGCGTCATCATCATTTTTTTTTGAATTTTTTAATATCTTTATTTTTTTTTAGTTTTTGGCGGACACAACATCTTTGTTTGTATGTGGTGCTGAGGATCGAACCCGGGCCGCACGCATGCCAGGCGAGCGCACTACCGCTTGAGCCACATCCCCAGCCCAATCATCATCATTTTTTTTATTGTGACACATGATACAAGAAAAAAATCCCCCAAGTGACGGAGCCAACTGTCTGACGGGGCCCAGCAGAGGCTGTGCTGGAAGCGACCCCTGGGTGGCCCGGCCTGCTCCACGCCTGACTGGCCCCTCCCCATGCTCGGGTGTGTGGCGCCAGGGACAGATGCAGAGCTGGACGGGACCCTCGGTACCCACCCCGCTTGCCCGCCCGCTGTGCCCTGGCAATTCTCCCCGACGTGAGGGTCTCCTTGGGCCTGGGCCGAGCTGGATCTCTCCGAGCAGAGGCTCGGAAACCTTGAAAAGCTGGGCTCCCCCCGCCCCACAGCAGCCTGTGAGCATCCACAAACAGGGGCTCTTTGTTTTCTGGCTCCTTTACCCCTGTGGTGACTTTTATTACTTAATTATTACACACCCCATGCTTCTGAGCCGCCTAATTTATAGCTGTGCTTTCTAATGACACTAGAGCGTGATCTCAAAATATCCACCCCCAGAGGCCGTTCAGCCCGAGGAGCTGTCTTCCCGCCACCCGGCTGCATCCGTCACCGGGCAGGCCCTGGCAGCCTCCGAAGCTCGCTGACCGCCTTTGTGTCCTCCCCGGCCAGGGGCTCTTATTACTGTGAACGGGGCGGGAGGAGTGGCGATGCTGTGAGTCACGGTGGCCACGGCCGGGCCTTTGGAAGGCCAGCTGGTGGCTCTTGGATAAGCAGGCGCGGACGCAGGGAACCCAGACACAGTCACACTGAGACACCCTCGGGGCTCGGCTCCACAGACCAGACCCAGAGGCACCGCAGGACCCAGCCACCCCTCCGACCAGTCCCCAGGCCCTTCCCCCTGCCCCAGGCCCCCCCTTGGCCTGGATCCTCTTCCTCCTGCTGGGCAGGTGCTTGCTTTCAGGTCTCAGCTGACCTCAGGGATCAGCTCCTCGGAGCTCGTCCCTCACCCAGCTCATCCTACAACTGGCCTCACCAAGTGCCCTCCGTGGACGCGTCTTGCTCCCACGGCGTTTGGTCTTGGCCGTGGGATGCCAATGGCTTTATGTGGTGTGGACTCACCGTGCCCCTCTCCATAATCATGTGTGTTGAAAAGAGTGGTTCAAATGAGTTATAATGAATTAAAGGAAGCAAATGGTTTTTACAGTTCAATCAAGGAATGGTGGTCTTTTTAACAAATGGGGCTGGAGCACTGGGCATCTTACGTTAAAAAAAACAATTTTTTTTTTTTTAAAGGGTGCCCTGGCCACGCCTGTAATCCCAGCGGCTCGGGAGGCTGAGACAGGAGGATTGCGAGCTCAAAGCCAGCCTCATCCATGGTGAGCTGCTAAGTAACTCAGTGAGACCCTACATAAAATACCAAATAGGGCTGGGGATGTGGCTCAGTGGTCAAGTGCCCCTGAGTTCAATCCCCAGTATCCCCCACCGCCCCCAAAAAAGCCAAAGCAAAAAAGTTCATTAAGTCTCACACCTTATTTGAGAATTAATTCAAAAGGATCCCAGGTTTAACTCTAAGATGTAAAACTGTACGACATTCACATGATCATGCAGGACGAAGTCTTTGGGACCTAAAGCTAGGTGAAGAGTTTCTTAGACTTGATGCTAAAAATAGGACCTGTGGAAGAAAAGGCTGATACATTCCTCAAAACGAAATGGTCTGTGAGCAACCCCATAACTACGGGGAGACGAGCTGCAGGCTGAGAGAGGCACTTGCCTACCACGAACCTGGCAAAGAACTCCCAAAACTCAGCAGGAGATCCAGCTATAAAATGGGTGAAGCCCTGGGAGACCCCCCGTGAGGATACGTGGATGGCAAAGGTACGAGAGAAGATAGCACCAGCGCCTCTGGCCACGGGAGAA